GATCTGCTTGGTTGTTTCACGTACAATCTCAGAAAAATAATCTATATTATTTTCTATATCAATAACGCTTGTAGGCCTAGATTTTGGAAATAATTTTGAATCAAGTATGGATTTGAATTGAATCCAGTTAGAAAGATTGTTGTGTAGAATATGATTGTTGATAACTGGAGTAGGAAATGTGCTAAACGTCACAAGTATTGGAGAATGATCTGAAGAGAGATCGTAACTAGATTCAATATTGAGATTTGAAAGATCAATACCTTTCACAATAAAAAAATCTAAAAGGTCTGGAACTTTAGTAGGGTCAGAAGGCCAATAAGTTGGACTGCAAGTTGAAATAAAGGAGAGGTTATTTTGCCCTATGGCTGCATGAAGAATCTTTCCTTTGGCTGTAGTCAGTCTAGAACCCCAGGCAATATGTTTACAATTAAAGTCACCACCAATGATAAATTTATTACCTAATTGAGAGAAAAATGAAGAAAACTGAGCACAAGAAATTTTGAATCTTGGTGGACAATAAACAGCAGAAACACAAAAATTATATAAATTTGTTTCAACAGAAATTTGAGTTGCTTGTAGAAAATCATCAGAAATATTTGGTAGAACAAAATGCTTTATATTATTTTTGATTAATATAGCCGAACCGCCGCGAGCCCTGCCACTTGGGTGATTTGAATTATAAGTAGTGTAGTTATAAATTTTAAAGTAGTTTTTTTCAGTGAAGTGAGTTTCTGAGATTAATAAGATATCTATTAAGTTTAACTTTAAAAAACATTCTACTTCATTTTTGTGAGGTATTAAACCGTTGGCATTCCATTCAGCAATTTTAATTATTTTTGCCATTGCTTTTGTTGTTGACTAACGTGGATAACATATTTATTATTATGGTGTTCTGTTGCAAAAGCTGATTGAAGATATTTTTAAATTCTAAAATAAGTGTTGCTAGAGAATCAGAATCGGGATTTGAAGGTGAATGATTAGAAGCAGAGTAATTGTTTTTTGCAATGTCTGCATAGGATGAATTTTGAATTGTTGGATTTAAGGCCGGAGAAATGTTGTTTATTTTATTATTAGAATTAGAATTATTAGAATTTTTAAAATTTTGGTTATTTGGATTTGGATTTATGACTGATTGATTTACTGGAGTTTTGTTTCTTTGTTCTTTAATTTTTTGGAAGTATGAGCAACCGCGATAATTAGCTGGATGAGCACCGTCGCAAAAATAACAACATGCCGGAGCATTCGGATCTTTGGTACAAGCTATAGTATTATGATTGTCACCGCATTTTAGGCAAGCAAATGGTCTATTGCAGTATTTTTTGGTGTGATTAAAGAGTTGACAGCGAGTGCATTGTATAATGTTGTTGGACTTTCTCGGTGGTTCGACGCGTATTATGCAGTTGAATAATTTATAAATGTTATAAATATTTTTGTTATTTCTATTTGGTTCCAGATCAACAAAAAACATATTAAGAGGTTCTTTTGTTATTCTATGTCTAATATTTAGGATATTACGTACGACATGACCCTGTTTTAATAGTTCTAATTTAATTGCATCTGTGCTTGTTGAAAAGTGTACATTTCTAAGAACAACCCTATAAGCCTTCTCTTCTTTTAATTGATATGTATGATATACGGCATTAGTTTCTTTTAGATGTCTGGATAAAGTTCGAAAATGGTCGACAGAATTACATAGAATTTTAAATGTATTGTTAGCTAAACTTCTCAGGAAATATTGATCGTGCGGAATTATTTCATTTAATTGATTAGACATATCATTAATATCGTCAACTCCGTAAATAAATATTGGAGGGGGCTTACTGACTGGAGCCGGTTTAACTGAGTTGTCATCATTAGCTGTTTCTATTGTTGAAAGGGCCGAAAATCTGTTTTGAATTTTGACATCTATTCCTAATGGTTCAAATGAAGTTTTTCTTTTTTGAAATTGACTACTTGCCATGAATTAGGAGGTTTCTTGACATCAGAATGTGGTTGAGTGAGGCTTGTAGATGCACTATTACTAGATGATATTACTTCCTGTCTTGAGTCAGAAACTGATGAAGTTGAACGCAGCGAGACCTTTTCCGATGTAAACATATTGGTCCGACCTTCTTCGCGAGGTATCTTGCTGTATTTGCTGGATCCAATAACGGTCTTTCGTAGTTTTGGGATTTCTGATGGTTTACTGTCCGATTCCATATTCGCTTCTATATCTTGATTGAAATGTAAGACATTTTTTTGATTCCACAAACGCACATTAGAGTCTCGATTATGTATGGTTTTTTGTAAGCAATTATTTAATTATCTGTACACTTTTGTAAGCTTTTCATGCAATTTTAATAAACCGTAAAATTCAATCTGACATGCACTTGTTTTTTTTCATGGAAAATCCGAATTTGAATGAT